AAATAAAAATACTATAATATTCGAATGGTATAATAGGCGAATAATATATATGTAATAGGACATACCTATATACCGAGGGAGTTAGTATTATTTGTCTTGAACTTTTCACGGCTTACATTGTTTTAAAATTATTGATCAAATGATCGAAATTCCTCCTCTAAATTTTATTTTACTCGATTATCGGTTCAAAGTGATTGTGATTATGATTAGAAATTGAATTGAGCTAAATTTAATTGTCGAATATAAAATATATATTCTTACTTAAACTTAACTTTACTTGAATTTTACAAGTATTCAAGTTGAAGTCAAATTAAATTGACTGTAAAAGCAATGAAGAATAACCAAATTAAAAAAAAAAAGAGCTTATGACATCATAGTGAATGGGAATATATAAAAATTAGTCGAACTTAATTGAACTTAGAAGTGTTAATTGAGTCGAACTTAAATTCAATTCTTAATTTGATGTAATTATAATTAAGACTCGAATTGAGTTGAATTTAATTGTCGAGTATAAAATATAAATTCGTGCTCAAACTTAAAGGTTGGGGTTATTCCCACCCCAAATTTTCATTTCTATCCTATTTAATTTCTAATTATCAAACTACTAAATCCACCCTTTCTATACTCACCCCATGTTACATACACCTATTTCAAAAAGAAAAGAACGAAATAAAGAAAAGAAAGAAAGAAAGAAAGAAGCAAATTATATCTCACTAGAAAAATTTATATTAAAAAAATATTTTTATGAGTGCATGAGATGAAATAGAGAATGAAACCCTAATTATAACAAAAAAATAATGTGAGTTTACTTATTCAACAGTGTATATGTAGTATGAGGTAGACTTAATTACTAATGAGGTGGGTCTAAAAGTGGTAAGTTTATTAGTTTGATAATGAGAAATTAAATGTGGTGGAATGGAGATTTGTGGGGTGAAAAATGGGAATAGCCCCTTCCAAACTTAAATTCGATTGAATTTTAAGAATATTTAAGTTAAGCTCAAATGAAAACTGATTTTAATTTTTCAACAAATTTTTTTATATTTACAATAATTCACGAGAAACTTTTGGATGCTTTTCTCACAAAAGTTACATGAACTTACATTGAAAAAATGGTGCAGAGATAATGTTATGAACTTTAGATAGAAACTTGTAAAAAAATAAATAGTTATATTTTTTTAAATTTGAGATAAATTTTATTAAAAATGTTAAAATTATGAATGTTTGATCAAGAATAATTATATTTTTCAAAATTTTGAATTAATATGTTGTAGTAGTTGTAGCGTGACTTTTGTTATATATAAATGTTTGATTATATATGTTTTGCATACAGATTGAACAATATCAATTTTATTGTTGTATTGTTAAAATTGAATTATACATTGCCTTTATTTATAAAAAAAATATTTACAATTTTTTACGGGTAATGTAGTGTATTCAGACATGGGTAATTACTAGTATATAATAAAATAACAAGATTGTTTATCTTGAACTTTTCGCAGCTCAGATTGTTTGAAGAGATTATTGATATGATGATTCTAATTCGAAATTTCCCCCTCTAATTGTTTGAACAAGATTTTTATTTCTTCTAAAATTCTAAGACTCATATCTCTCTTATAACTCTCTCTCTCTATCTATCTCGTACTATCTGATTTTCATGCAGCTCATACGTCTTTTTCAGTTAGCTCTCTGTCCTTCTGACATACTATGACGACCAGTATAAAAATTAATCACTAACACATTAATTAGGTTGTTAATTATGATTTTATATAATTAAGGATTGTTTTTAAAAATTTCAAACAAATGTACCTTAAATACATATTCTTTGCGTGAAAACGAATCGAATGACTATAATATAGATCATATTTAGTATTGAAATAAAAATACTATAATATTCTAATGGTATAATAGATGAATAATATATATGTAAATTTGTAATATATCTATATAATAAGAGAGTCATCATTGTTTGTCTTAAGTTTTTCGTGACTCAGATTATTTTAAAATTATTGATCAAACGATCGAAACTCTTCTTCCAAATTTTTTTTCCCCTCAAAAATTATTAGAATTCTTTCATTTTACCCAATTATCGATCCGAAGTGATTATAATTAGGATTCTAATTGAGCTAAATACGATTGTCAAGTATAAAATATATATTCTTACTTAAACTTAACTTTGCTTGAATTTTACGAGTATTCAAGTTGTACTCAAATTAAAATTAATTGTAAAAATAATAAAGAATAATTAAATTTTAAAAAAAAATTATGGTGTCACTTTGTACAGGGATAGATTAAAATTAGTTTGTAGATTTAAGATATAAGTGTTAATTGAGTCGAACTCAAATTCAATTCTCAATTTGACGTGATTTGATTAAGACTCGAATTGAGCTGAATTTGACTGCTGCGTATAAAATATAAATTCTTACCTAAACTTAAATTAGACTGAATTTTACGAATATTCAAATTGAACTCAAATGAAAAATGATCTTAATTTCTTAACAAAATTTTTCGGATGATTTCCTTACAAAAATTACACGAACTCACACAAGAAAAATGGCGCACAGATAATATTATGAACTTTAGGTAAAAACCTGCAGAAAAACAAATAGTTACATTTTTTTTTTAAATTTGAGATAAAGTTTATTAAAATGTTAAAATCGTGAATAATACCAATTGGATAATTATATTGTTGAAATTATATTATATATTATCTTTATTATGAACAAATATTTGTAATTTTTTATAATTAATATAATGCCTTTAGGTACGAACAATTACTAATATATCTATATCTTACCTATTAAGGGCCCTACATCATATTCTCATCTAGGACCTCTAAATTTGTTGGGCCGCCCGTGCTTCCTATAATAAGCCTATAAGTAAACAAAGTAAATTCCACTTAATAAATTATCAAATGATATAAAGAAGTGGTTATTCAAATATGTATAATTTTCTAACAAAAAAAAATATGTATAATACAGTTGACGAGTTGATACGTGTTTTTTTATGGTGACACGATGATAACAATGATGTGTAGTATCGTTATCAAGGGCGGAGGGAGGCATGGGTTGGGGTGGGTAAGTGGCCCCCTCAAATTTTTTTTTTTTATTAATTAGGTATATATATTATATATTTATATAATATATTATTTGTGCCCACCCAAAATTTAAAGTAAAAATGTTAAACCCACATTATTTATTCAAAAGAAATAAAAAATTAAGCCCATTTGAAACAAAACAAATTTGAGTCCAACACTATTTACCAAAACTTATTAAAAAATCAAATCTTTGACCTATTACAATCCACCCAAATCTATTAAAAAAATAAAACTTTTGGCCCTCATTAAAAAACAAAGTTTTTTATCCACTTGACAGATATCTTTAACACCTATATTGTTAGTTTTTTTCTTTTTTCTCTCTGTCTTAACCAGAAAAAACAAAGTAAAGATCCTTCTTCAGTTCCTTGAATTTTTTTGTCGTTCCTTGCAAAGTTGATGGGTTTAGTAGAGATCATGGGCGGAGCCGGTATATGCCCAGGGGGCACATGTCCACCCTTAATTTTTTTTTCTTAACATTACTTATATATATTTCAAATATTTCTTCAATATTTTTATTTATGTCTATCCTATTTTATTTGCACATAAAATATTGTTTTATTTCTATTAATTTTTAAAAAAATAAAATTTAATTTGTTAAAATATTTGTGCCTATCCTAACATGGCCTTCTGGCTCCGCCTTGACCGTTACAACCAATATTTTTTCTCTCGTAATCTCCCTCCCACGCCTGCTTCTGTCACTCTCTGAGCAGTTAACGCCACCAACTTGAATGTATGTTCCATCTCTCTCGCTCTCTGTCCTTCTCCTCTCTATCTCTGTGACCTCTCCCCACTCCCACCCACCTACCTCCCTTCTCTCTCTACCTCTCCGGTTTTTCTCTCTTTCCTCACTCTCTCTCCTCTCTTACCCCTCCCTTCTACTGCTCCTCTCTTTCTCTTTTCTCTCCGCATCACTTTTCAGCCCAGCCGCTCTTCCTCCTCTTCACGATGTCAGAGTTATACCCTTTCCCCGACGACCTCACAAAACTGCCAACCACCAACTAACTGCATCATGCGTTTGACGAATTTCCTCAAAGAGTTATGGAGCCTCTGATCAGACAATTTTTTTTTCGATTGCAATTAGGTGTGGTTTATTAGCTCAATATTTCTGATGAACCATTTATTTTCTCATATTAATCTTTCTGTGACTAATAGTAATTTTTTTTTTTTGCCATGATTTGATAATTTATGGCTTAGCTTGAAAGAGGATGTGGGAAACTTAACTGCTCAACTGATTGGAGGCCAATGAGACGGTGGTCAATCTTTTATTTTTTGGGTGGAGCAATGTTTTACTTCAATTGAATTCATGGGGTTTGGTGGATTAGTTGTTGGAATGACTGAAATTTTCATCTCTGTGTGCTTTGTTGGAGTTCTATGGGTGATTTTGTATGTTATTTTGTCTATTTGATTTTTTTTTCTTTGTAACAGGACTTCTATTTTGTTAAATTCTCAATTTGTTTTTTGATTTTGCTATTGAGCTTTTTTTGCTCTTTTTTATTGTTGTTTGGAGTTCTATAGAGTTTTTTTGGTGACGTTGTTAATGTAGATGCTGTTTGTTGCCTGATGGTGAAATAAGTTGAGTTTCCTTTTTTTTCCTTTTTATTTTTTGATGTTACCAATCTGATTTTCATCTTTATCAACATAATCAACTTTGATTTTGTTTAGAAGTGGCTGACAAACGTGTTGCTTTATTAGCTGTCTTCAGTGCAATTTTGGACTCATCTCAATTACTCCTCCTGAAAAGAGTCTAAACCTCTATTTGAGTGGTCTCATAAAATATGATTTTGGTAGTCTGATAGTGGGAGTTGAGTTCATTGGTTTGGTGGTTTTTTTCTTTCTATGTCTGAGCATTGGACTGTGTTTATGTTACATTGGACTGAATTTGTATCCACCCACCACGTGTTCGATGAAATTTTTCAAAGAGTTGCGGACACATCGCTGCCAACAAAAGGGTGACTCTCTCATCTTTTTTGCACCCTCCACTTGCTATTAGTTTGATGAATTTTATGGGTTTGACGTAGGCCATGGTGTCATGTTGGTATTACTGATGGTATATGTAAATGCTTTTACCTTGCCATTCTTTGAGCTTCTGTGACAGCATGTATGCTTTTAAGTTGTAATGTTACTTCTGTTTGATTGATGGCATTGTAATTAATCGGGACGACTCAGTGTGGAATAAGTGTAATGGTTTAAATATAAAAAATTTGAGTATATTTTGTGTGTTTTTTTATATGATGGCAAACATTTTTGTAGTATTGCTTCAGTAAAATGAAGACAAATTCTAATATCCTATGATGTCATTGATGTGATCATCTTATTTGGGTTTGTCGATGACTTCGCCGACCCGTCATTGCCATAGCCCAAGTCTAGGTGTGCCTTCAGGCAGTGGCAAATAAAATGATAATTTCTAACAGCAATATAGCACTGTCTAATTTAGGCAATGATAAAAGGGGCACAACATCATAGTTTTGAGATACAAAATAGTATTTATTGACGAAAAAAGAGCTTCTCCAACCCTGAGTATCACTGGTGCAAAGTTATAGGGGTAAAATTCCTAATGGCTCATGAATGAATTAAAAATACAATGGAATGAGCTCGATAAGCAGTGGCATGGACGGGATCAAATGGATGGTGCGATAAAGACAATATTGACACAGTAACATTACAGAAATCCCATTGATGGTGCAATAATCCACCTTGTAACTACCTGCGGCAAGCAATTATCTGCGCAAATTAAGAAAGAAAACATACGTAAACATATGAAAGCCATAAAGTTTTTTATCCTTTGGATGAGAAATAGACCAAATTTTGAACTTTGCACAATATCAGAACTAGTATGTGAGTAATTGAATTACTCATTATATTATTACTTTTCCGGTCAGTTGTTCTTAAAAGGTGTGCTACACTCATTCGTATTTAAAGAGCACTTTCTGATTGCTAATTCTTTTAAATTTTTTGTTGGGTTGTTGTTACAGATAGAAGATAATTTGGTTGAAGGCAGTATGGAAAAGACAACAATGTTTACTTTAGTACCTGGAATTTGAAGAGAGAGTAGTTTTCTGGAAACACGCTTACAAATTCTTGTACTGTATGCTTGTTTCTTACTTCCAACCAAACGAGCAAACACCCTTCCCTTCCTGGCATTCACAACAACAGCAGGAGAAACCCATAACCCATATTGGCAGTGGCAGACCCACTTTACCTCTCCCCACCCCCCCTACTCTATTAATCTTATAATAGGGAAATTTGTTTATTTTGTCCTCATTCTTCAACTAAAGATGAAATGTTGCATCCACTCACCTTCTTTTATTATTAATTCCTACTGGAAAACTGCCATCATCCGTTCATCTTCATCTCTCCCTCAAAATCTGAACCAGAAACATGAACCTTCTTCTTTTTCTTCTTCAACGGGAATGGGGTGGTCCCCAGCTCGAATCCAGAAGCTGATAGCCTCCCAAACAGACCCTCTCCTCGCCAAAGATATCTTCGACTTAGCCGCCTTTTCCCAGCCCAATTTCCATCACTCTTACTCCACTTACCACACTCTTATCCTCAAACTCGGTCGCTCTCACAAGTTTTCTCTCATGCAATCTCTCCTCACCCGCCTCAAGTCCCAAAACTACCCTGTTTCCCCTTCCCTCTTTACCCAGATCATCCAAATCTATGGTGATGCCCAATTACCTGACAAAGCTCTCCAAACCTTCTACAAAATCCTCGAATTCGTCAATACCAAACCCCTGCCCAAACACCTGAATTGCATCCTCCAAGTCCTTGTCTCTCACCGTAACTACCTACGGCCTGCTTTCGACCTTTTTAGGTCAGCTCACAGATACGGTGTCTCACCTAACACCCAATCGTACAACATCCTAATGCGTGCATTTTGTTTGAATGGTGATCTTAGCATTGCATACTCCCTGTTCAATCAAATGTTTAAGAGAGACGTCGTGCCGGACGTCCAGTCATATCGAATTTTAATGCAAGGATTGTGTAGGAAGAGTCAGGTGAATAAAGCCATTGACTTGTTGGAGGATATGTTGAACAAAGGCTTCGTTCCGGATACTTTGAGTTATACCACATTGTTGAATAGTTTGTGTAGAAAGAAGAAGCTTAAGGAGGCTTACAAGCTTCTTTGTAGGATGAAGGTTAAGGGATGCAATCCCGACATTGTGCACTACAATACTGTTATCTTGGGCTTCTGTAGAGAAGGCCGCGCTCTAGATGCTTGTAAGGTTCTCGAGGATATGACCTTCAATGGGTGTTTACCAAATTTGGTGTCTTATAGGACTTTGGTAGGCGGGCTGTGCGACCACGGTATGTATGACGAGGCCAAGAAATACATAGAGCAAATGAGGTACTATGGTTTTTCTCCTCATTTCTCTGTTTTTCATGTGTTAATAAAGGGGTTTTGTAATGTTGGTAAGATCGAGGAAGCTTGTGGCGTGTTGGAAAATATGTTGAAGCACGGGGAAGCTCCACATTTGGGTACTTGGGTGGAAATAATAAATAGAATATGCAGTGTTGAGGATGTTGTGACAACAGAGGATGTTTTGAAAGAGGTTTTGAAAGTAGAGATCAAGCTTGACACAAGAATAGTAGAGGCAGGTGCTGGTTTGGCTGAATACATGATTATGAAGATACGAACTAGATCAAGGAATTCTTAATTGTTCACTGTAATTCGACTGATTGATCCATGCTTACCCCTTCAGCTTGAGGAATGTGTAGGCTTCCAGGTATGAGCACTCCTTTCCATGCATGGTTTAAGGTCGCGGTATCGGCCATCGACTCGGAGAAATACATTGATCGAGGCGTCGTGGCGCAGTATTGAGCGATACGACTTAAAAGAAAATGTTGAACATAACGAGAAATTCAGGTTATATCATAGAGTCGTGGAACCGTATAGGTCAATTCAGTGACGATATTTAGGCGACTCGGATTGACTCGGATACAATTTGGACGACTCGGTTGAGTTGTGTGAGACTCGGAGTTTATACGTATCGTGTAACGGTATCGTCTCCGAAGGTGCCGTGACAGATACGACTCGGCTAACTCATATGGGTGTCGGCTGATACTTTGAACCATGTTTTCATATCACTCTATGTACTTCAAAATTTGGTCTAATTGGTATTGACTTATGCTAATTTTTTAAAAAATTTTATTTTCTATGTATTGAATTTAAGTAAGGGATAAGGTTAGATGCCCCCGCCCCCCTCTTCTTCTTTTCCTCGTAAGCTTTTGCCATTTTGAATAAAATTTTCTTGTGTGGCTTTATTTTAACTACTACACTTAAAAAGAAGCTTGTAATTTTGAACTAAGAGTAGTTATGGCATTTGGGGTTTATATGCAGAATGAGGGCACTTCTTGCAAAAATTCACATGACGGCAGCAACAGGTTCACCTTTGAAACTACTAAATCTTCTATTTTAATGAGAAAAAATCACATAGCACCAAGGCATCAGCTAATGATTTATATGTTTAAGGCAGTTTTGTCCTCAATCTTTGTATTAGAACTGGAAATTATCAATCTGGATTGTAGAACTAGGATTACGTATACCCCTTCTGCAACATAATTGATTTGAGAGTTCTTTTCATGTTTCCCAATATTCACATTGTGGTATCCATATCTATCATCCAGGCCAATAAGCCACCTTGTCAAGATTCACTGTGCATGACTAAATGCAGCTACATATTGGTCTTAGTGGTTAGCAGAAGAGTCATCCTTTGCAATAAAATCTTAATTGGTTTTTCGGCAATGCATAAACATCCAACACTGTAAGCATGTTCTTTTTTTTTTTTTTTTTCAAGTTTTTGTATCTCAAACTATGAAGTTGTACTCCTTTTATCGTTGCCTAAATTAGACATAGTGCTATATTCATGTTAGAATTTTTTTTTTCTGCCTGAAGGTACGGAGTAAAAAAAAACAATATATTATGTTTAACACTGAGGAATCCTTGTTCGTGTAGATATATAAACAAAGATGATATCCAAACTTGCCAGAAAAACTGGAAAAAAAAAAACCAAGGTATGATCATAATGAAATGGAAATAATATAAGGACAGGTTCTAACTATTCACACTTGATAATAATATTCATGAATGATAATAAAATATTGTAATTGATCATAAATAGATTCAATTAATAAAGTATAAGGCATTTCAAATCTAAAAAGATATAAAAAATAATTTTTACTCTTCGCGGTGCAGATATATTTAAATTTCACAAAATTTGATCCAAAGGCTAATATTAAATAACCAATTTTCATATTTGCACCCAAAACATTAAACTGCCTCTCCACATGGAGAAAATATTAGGTGTAAGCATCCAATAAAAAAATAACAAAATGGATAAAATGAGATCTATTTTCTATCATAGAGGTGGTTATGTTTGAGCAATGCTACATGAACTTAAAAAATAGACTTAGTAATTACAACAATTGATTTTACTATAACTCCCAATATTTATTGGGACCCACTATTTGTTCAATAATTAAGATTATCAAGTCTAATTTTTTAAATCCATCTAGCATTACTTAGTTATGTATTATCTGGCTAGGTCGTTATGAATTTTTAGGGGGTTCAATTGTAGACTTGTTTATTTATTAGTGAACGGTTGCACTACGCGCATTACTGACGCGGTGTAACGATTACACCCAATCTTTTTTCCTCCACATGACTATCTCGATGATGACAACGTGGAGTCACTCTTGCAACCAATAGGTGTGGTTTATTAGCTCAATATTTATGCTGAACCACTTGATTTTTTCATTTCTTTCTCATTTGTTTGTTCATTTTACCATTTATTTTCTCATATTAATCTTTTTGTGACTAATAATTTTTCTTTTTGCCATGATTTGATCATTTATGGCTTAGCTTGAAAGTGGATGTGAGAAACTTAACTGCTCAATTTGAGGCCAATAATACGATGGACATTCTTTGATTTTTTGGGTGGAGTTATGTTTTACTTCAATTGAATTCATGGGGTTTGGTTGATTAGTTATTTGAATGATTGATTTTTTCTTCTCTCTATGCTTTTTTGGAGTTCTATGGGGTTTTTGACGTCGTAGCTCTTTTGCAATTTACCTAATGTTTGCGATGACCCAATCTGATTTTCATCTTTATCAACATAATCAACGTTGATTTTGTTTAGAAGTGGCTGACAAACATGTTACTTTTTTATCTGTCTTCAGTGCAATTTTGGACTCTCCTCAGTTACTCCTAAAAAGAGTCTAAACCTCTATTTGAGTGGTCTCAGAAAATATGACTGGGGTAGTCTGATAGTGGGAGTTGAGTTCATTAGTTTGGTGATATTTTTCTTTCTTTGTCTAAGCATTTGACTGTGTTTGTTATATTGGACTGAATTTGTACACACCCACCGCATGTTCGATGAAATTTTTCGCAGAGTCGTGGACACATCGCTGCCAACACAAGGGTGATTCTCTCATCTTTTTTGCACCCTCTACTTGCTATTAGTTTGATGAATTTTATGGGTTTGACGGAAATTTGCCACCTTTTATTATCAATTCCTACCGGAAAACTGTCATCATCCATTCATGTTGATATCTCCCACAAAATCTGAACCAGAAACAAGATTAAAATTTATAATATAAAATAGGATAAGTTTCAATAAGTTTATCCGACAGTTTCAAATAAACTCATTCAACAGTCATGAAAATTCTTTTTAAAATTATTCATATTGAACTCTTTTATTGAGAAAAATTACAATAAAGTTAAAATAAAAGGAAGAGCCATTCGGTTTGTTGGAAGAAATCCGAAATTATTCCAAGATTTAAGGGTTAATCTTTAACAAATATGCCCCGTCCAACTGGTCTCTTCCACAAGTCCTACATTCTGTAAAATTGCCTGGATGAGTAATACTGCCCAATCCTACTTTCTCGGGTCATTTAGAATCAAACAAATTTGTAAATTTTTAGGACTCTTCCAAAAAAAGTCCTACATAGAGAGAGAGAGAGTATATTATGAGTTAATCCATTTACCCAACACAATTGAGATCAATAGAACCTTCTATCAGTTGGGAAGCTAAATATTAAGTAAGTGGCTTGATGAAGATAGCTAAGCCGACACGCCGGGTTTGACTGTTGGCACAACATGGTGGTGCCTTACAGCACTGCAGGCGGACACGCAGTTGCTTTCATGGTGGTGCTTCAAGTTTTCATACCATATTTAGGTATCAAAAGATTTACACAAGGAGAGCACCGCCATGTGAACTAATGTATGGACAAAAGAACACTAGGGGATGAACAAGTCTCGTGGAACTGCAAGACAAGAGAACACTAGGTGAATCGATGGCTCGAGGGAGCTAAAGGGACTCCGATATTTAAATTAGATCGCAAGTCAGAGAGAAGTATTGAGTGAATATGATGAGATTGAATGCCTTACCAGGTATCCGAGATCTTTATTTGTAGTTGTAGGGAGATGTGTCCCAAAGGAACTCGAACTCTAGATTTATTGACTCAACGTTGTCACTAGCTCCCAGAAGTTCGGAGCCAAGTTAGACTAAAACTCTTAGGGGCTATTTGGTAACTATTTTTATTTTGTGTTTTGTGTTTTTGTTTTCAATTTTTATCAAAAATGAAAACAAAAATATGTTTGGGTACTGTTTTTGTTTTTGTTTTATATTAATTGTCTTGGAGACAAAGATAAAAAAATGGGAATAAAAAATTTGTGTTCCAGGAAACACGTGAAACACAAAACACACAAGATTGGTATAAATGAGGTCTCAACTTCGAGTCCTGTTAGCCACAAAATATCAATTCATATGAGAGAGTACAAATAGGGGTCTTATCATTTGGTCCTCACAGAACACCCGACTCAACCCCCTCAGCTACTCTCTTCTCTTCTCCATCTCAACCCCTCTCTTCTCTTCTCTGTCTCAGCCCCTCTCTTTTCTTCTCTGTCTTAGCAAGCTCTCTCAGCAGATCGACAAAGAAGGCTTACCTAAAAAAAAGGGACTTCCAGCCACATATCAACGAAGAAGAAGCTTCCTTTCGTTGTGAAGGTTTTTTTTTTTTTTGGCTGTGAAGGTAAGTGTAATCTTTTTACTTGTATACATAAATGTATATATATATATATATATATATATATATATATATATATACATACATAGATTTGTATATATATATGCATAGATTTACATAGATCTGTACGTGACAACCCCTTTTTTTTTTTGTTTAATATGTATTTTTTCACCAAAATATACATAGATTTGTATTTTTTTTCTCTATCCGTCTGTCTGTCTGTCTCTCTGTGTCCGTGTTCATTTGCCATTGCTTCACATTCTTTCTTCTCTCTATGAAGCATGTGATTGCTTACTCAGGTACTTATTTACTTTTTTGAATGCTTCACTAGATTTATATATCAGTGTGTAAAGTGAATATTTCTGCTGAATAGTCTTTTTTTTTTGTAAGGGTTTTAATTTGTATGTCTAAGCAATGTACTAGCTTTATGTACTTTACAGATTTTTTGAGTCGTTGATTCGTTGATTCGTTTGTCATTGGTTCACATTCTTTCTTCTCTCTGTGAAGCACGTGTATATTTGAAAATTTGATGAAATAAAATCTTGTGTTATTTATTCAAAGCTTCAATATATTCGGATAATTGGTGAGGAAAGAATTGCAGGGGGTGGGTTTTGGTGAGGAATGAATTGCAGGGGTGGTTTTTGGTGAGGAATGACTTGCAGGGGGTGGGTTTTGGTGTGGAATGAATTGAAGTGGGTGGTTTTAGTGATGATAGGGGGGTGGGTTTTGGTGTGGAATGAACTGTAGGGGGTGGTTTTTGTTGAGCAAAGAATTGCAGGGGGTGGGTACATGTTGCTTGCCTTTATTGTTTACTTGGATTTGATG